AAAAAAAAAAAAAAAAAAAAAAAAAAGAAAAGAAAAACCTAGGTGAGCATGCAGCCCCAGCTGTGCTGTTCTGGCCAGGTGTCCACAGCAAGGGCACCCAGGCGCTGCCATGCTCAGCAGGTACCCCAGCAACTCCTTGTAGTTTTGTTTCAAATGCACCACAGAGGTTAAAGTTCCATAGGCCCCCAGCCAAAATGAGGGTTAAATAATCAGTAGAGATAAGCTCTCAAAATACTTTTTTTTTTTTTGGTACCAGGGATTGAACTCAGGTCCTTGCGCTTGCAAGGCAGGAGGTAGTACCACTGAGCTAAATCCCCAGCCTAATGCTAGGTCTTTTAAAAACTCTTTCTGCAGTGCTGGGATCAAGCCCAGGGCCTTGCACACGCTGGGCACACTCTGAGCGGCATGCTACACCCCTATCTTCAAAGCACTGGTGTCTAATAAACGGATCAGTCCTTTCAATCCTGCTTCCACACATGCTGTTAAAGCGGGCAGCGTTCTCATGGAGATACTGGCCTGGCTGGGGTGCCGCCCTTCACACTGCAGTGTGGGAGTCAGCGACACTAAGCCGAAGGGGTCACAGCCAGGCCAGGACTCAGTTCCAAGCCTGCCTTTGTCCACACGTGGCCTGCGTCAGCAGACACCACTGAACCTTTAGGTGACCATGAGGATCCTGGCCACTGCCCCCATCAGGAAGGACAAAGCTGACAGGACTATAGGACTTATGCTCTCCCCAAGGGAAAGCTACACACTCCACGGATATTTTTATGAAAGACACAAAGACACAAAGCTACACATCCTGTATTTGGACAAACCTCCAGAACACACACCGGGCTCTGCTCGAAACTCAGCGCTATCAGCCTGGCACCTGGGAGACTGTGGTCAAACCCCAGCCACTCTCTCTGCTGCAACAACTATCTGGAAAAATCTCTGAAAATGAGCAGTTTAAAAAATTAGGCAACACCTGGTGTTCAAACCAGTTCCAGTTCTGCTAAGTTTTAAATATTGCTCGTTTCAAGGACACTAACAGGGATCAGCTTTTACACTGGTCAGCTCAATCTGCTGTGATCTCACAGAAACCTGGACCCCAACCAGCCCTGCTAAAGCAGCCACCAAGTCCTCCAACACTTCCACCAGCCCTCAGCATCACGACGCCATCACCTTCAACTCTGGTTTCTGCCCACTGGCATCAACACTAAGACACACCCATTTTTACTTTCCATTAGAACATTTCCCCCCTGAACTCCACTCTGAGGCCAGCTAGCTCTCCGGGTTCACTTATAATGCCACAATGTCAGAACAGGGAAGCCACTCAATAAAAAGGTTTTTTCTTTTTTGTTTAAGTTTGAAACATCACAGATCAGGAAACACCTGAAATACGGTGTTTAGAACCCAAGGTGTCATGCCACCTTTGAGATGCTTTCTTTTTATGAATGAATGCCATGTGACAATAGTAGATAACCACAATTTTTCTATAAAAGTATTTCTGTTAAAATTCTGATCTCAATTTAGCTATTGTTAGTTTACAAATAAAAAGGTAGATATCATAAATTAGGGTAAGCAAAGCATGCAAATCTAAAGAATCTATATCTGAGTTCCTAGATTAGCATTAAAACCAATCACCGCAACAAATACCTCAACAGTATGCCTTGTGTGCAGAAAGGAAGCGATACTGAACATTCAATGCCACAACCGTAAGGTTTCGGAGAAGCACCTGTGGCAGTTTCAGCAGTTTCTATATGGAATGCTCCCCCTTTCTAGGATTACTTGAAAAAATCAAGTCAATTCGAATTACGTAGCTGGAAAACATTGACATGTGTAGTTTTTATAGATTCAGAATCTTCTGTGTGACTTAAAACGGGCAATGGTTCATACACAGGAAACTTATAAATCATACGGGATCACATTGCAGGCAACATTGGATTAGAATACATACACACATGAGGCGGCGGGCTGTGCCCGCTCTCATCACTGCCCTCTACGCTCCCTCTTGTCATTTCAGCATGAAGCCAATTCAAATATGTCAATATTTCAACAAAGTTTAACAGTATGGACTAAAAAACCATCAACTCACGATTCTGGTTACTTTAAAATTTGGTATGCTGTATCACAAATACATTAGTAACTATTCCTAGATGGAAATAAGCAAATAAATGGAATCATTAAAAAAAAGATAAAAACATTACTAAATGCCCATTTGTATAAAACATTAGCAAACATCTAAAGTATCTTAAGTAAAAGAAATACATGTGTAATTTTAACCCTTTGGTATCCAAACTTAATGAGGTTTTATAAACATATTCTTCAAGTTAACATCAGGAAGAAACGATTGTATGAAAAAGTTTCTGCCTGAATAAATTTGGTGCCAAGTTTCCATTTCAAGTTCAGTACTACCAAGAATAGTTTGAGGTTACAACTGAACCACAGTTATATTTGCATACATTAAAATCTAAGAGCATCATTCAAGGAGTTTGATGAAATACCTAACATGCTCCAACTATAAATTAGCAAAGGATAAAGACACTGGGATTTAGAAATTGATTTAATTTGAAAGCGCTGTCTATAAAAGCAGTAGCTAAAGAAATACTGAATCTATATATTATTCAAGCAGTCATGAAAAATAAAAGTTCTGAAACCAAATTTGCCAACAAAATGACTCTGGAGCACAGTGAATCTGTCATCTGCTCCCAACTGGTGGACATCCCATGGCAGCACCTCAGAAAGTGACCCCTCCACCCAGAGCATGCACCCAGGCAGGGAGCAGACAAGCAAGACACAACCGAGAGAGCAGTGACAACAACCGGATGAGGGAGGCAGGTGCTAAGCTGCGAAGACAGAATTCAGAGCATTTGCAACACCAGAATACTAATCAGGGACATAATTTTAACAAATCTTCTAACAGCGCTGTTACTCTGAAGGGCAACGAAGGGACTCAACAGAAACCGCACACTCAAAATGAATGGCTAATAGTGGATCTGGGCTCGCCTTTGCCAGGACAAATCTGCGGTGCATTTCTAACACCAGGGCTGTGCATTCATCTGATGCATTTGTCTCAGTGGAAATCCCACTTCCAGGCAGGGTTCCATAAGAAAATAAATGTGGGTCATACAGGTCCACCAATTTTGAACCAAACTAAACCAACTCTAATTTTAATTAAGAATTTCTAAAAATCCAGCCTCAAGTTTCACAGCATTAAGGCAAGTGTCAACATGGATTTTCAGACTTCCATCACTCCAGACAATTGTGTCTGCCTCACAAGTGAGGTAAGAAGACTGTCCTACCTGCTATCTCAGGCTACAGCTGTTTCTCCCAAAGCCTAGCATTCCGGGATCCAAGTCCTTACATCAACAAACAGCCCACTCCACCTGAATAGCTTGGGATACAGGGATTCCACAGCAAGCCCCTGCTGAGGTGAGACCACCACTATGCACCAGCCCCTTCACACAATGGGGGACGCAGTGGACCAGCCAAGCTGCCCTGGGTAGAGGTGACTCTGGCTTCTGTGTCCAGGTCAGGTCTCTTACTTCTGCTCAGGAGGACAGAGAGACCAGTTATACTGGTCCAGCTGGTCAATATGGAAACACCCTCCACTTTCTCCAGAAAGACACAAAGTACCAAAATACCTACAGTGAAACTAACCCCAGGGGCAAAGCTCTTAGCAGGTTAGAAGCAAAAAGGTCTTAATTATCAGCAGACAACACAGTTTTAAATCTTTCTCCAAAATTGCCTCAAGGCCTAACCTTACTCACTGTTCTGTCACCCACCGCGTAAGTAAGACTATGCCTTCTCTTCTGAGTTCCTGCCCCTCCCGATGAAGCAGGCAGTGAACACGGGCTGCAAAGGAAACTCTCCCAAGGACAGCTGAAGGGCATTACAACAGCCTAATGGTGAAAACACCACTCTTAGATAATGCAACGTACGCAAACGTGTGGTCAGAACAGAGATCTGATCCTGTGGGTTTCAGTTTTAGATGCAAGCGATGGCAAACATTAACAGCCATCACACAGGCCAGAAATGGACACACACAGAAAATGTAACTTGGCACCAAAACTCAAGATTTCAATTAAGAAAACAAAGTCCATTAACATACTCACGTGTAGTGCTAGAAAATTTAATACGATGAACAGCAGCTGAAATGCGTTATCTTACAGTGGCAACCTACATTAACAAGTAAGTTACATAGCAAACCATTCTAGCCACAGATACTCATCACCTCTGCCCTTATTATGTCTACCTGATGACCAAACACACACAAGGATAGACATGGCCACTCTAACGTAGCACATATATAAAAAGCTGAGTAGGAATTAAGAACAAAACTATTAATTTAAAAATAGTGGTATGAGGCAGATTTTAGTCCATCCACCAGAAAGGCTAATTTATACTAGAGAATGCAAAATAAGGAATTGCAATCTAGCCCATTCTGAACTGAGGAAAAGAAAAGTAGCTAAGTGAATGAGTTCTATGTCTTTGATCCTTCTTATAAAAAAGGTATTCTTTGTTAGGACTGTATGTAACTATACAACGTAGCACTTACAGGGAACAAATAAAACAGACCCAAACTCCATTATTCTGGGGATTCACACTGTTATATGCCGATCGGCTAAATGGGGTAAACTATGAAAAGGTGCAGAACAGACACCAAGAAACATTTCAGTTTACCTTACTAGCAAAACTTACATTTTATCTAGATGTTCTAAAAAACCACATATACAACAGCAACAAATAATGATTACTTAAGTTTTTTCTCCAGGCCAAAGACTTAGAATTTTAAGAATTGCTTTTGGCTAGGCAGCTCAGGCTAAATGTTTCTTCTAAAAAAATCTGAGCGCTCAGTCCAGGGAAGTCACCACAATGCAGGGTCTCGAGGGGGGAGGCTCTTATACTGGGACGGGACACAGATGGCCCGAGAGCCATGCCCAGCCACGCCTGGTGGAAAAGACACTTGAGGGTCCTGTAATCAAGGACAGAATCGTAAATAAAAGATGCTCATGTTTAAAAAGACACCTACTGGAAAAAAGGACATCATGATAGATACTGACTCAAAGGATTAATCTATCCATTAAAATAAGTAAAACTACCATCTTTGTAATAAAATGTTCAGGACCATTAAGAGTAATGTTTAGAATAAGTTGTTAAAAGATCAACTTCTAATTATCCATTTCAATTAATGATAATTAAGCAATTTAATCAATTATAAGTGACTATTTTATAATCACAGCTTATTGTTAAAATTAAGGATTTGAGTATTTTATCTAAACACAGCTAATAAAACTTCATCTGTAACTGCAGAGCAATTAGTGGAGAATCACCTCAGTGTTTTAAGGCTGTAGATACAGACCCACGTTACCAATTCTTCTTACTTTACCTTAAGTCATAACTGCGTGTTAAGTCACAAGGGTCCCTGCATCGTGGCGGTTAACAGGCTATGACTCACGCCGTAAGTAAAGGGTCCAAGCCCCACAAGGCTCAGCGAGACAGAAGCTAAGACCCGGGGAGGCCGGCGACAACCTCTCCTATGGAGCCGCGCCTTGCACTGACCTGCATGGTTTGTTGTCCAGGATCTAAAAAGACTTACTGTTACACAGAGTCAAAACAACGACATGGAAACCAAAGGGTTAAACTAGGTTAGTTCTGGAGTTTACATCTCCCCAAATCTAAAATTTCATGTTTCCAATTAGAGTAAGTGGTTTCTACTTAATTTCATAAATTCCACAACACAAGGTAAGACAAAAGAAAGCTAGTATTATTTTGATTATTACAGCTGTATAGCTTATACTCAACATTTAAGGGTGAAAAACCACATCCATTTTGTTAATTCTGTGAACTGTGAAGAAAAGATTTCATTATATAATCTTTAAAAAAAGTTGAAACAAATCTAATAAATACATGTATAATGCCATAGTTAATGATTTGCATACAAAATCACAGTTCTAGAGATCACTTGAAATTAAGGTTGCTTTATCAGACTATAAACAAGCTAGCTGGTGTATATGAGGATAAACAAGGATCTCTGAGTTGTCATGTCAAGGGCTCTCAAGTCTCAACAGGCCTGTTTACAACGCACTACAAATCCTTAAGTTGTAACAGGCTGTAAAACATAACCTTCCTACATCTGCTAAGATGAGGAACCAAAATTTAGAGAAGCCCATAGTCTTGAGCCAGAGAGGCCTGCAAGGATATTCCAATCCAAGCCCTTAGTTAGAAATTAAAACCTGGCAAAGGGAAGTGGGAAGACCGGCCATGGTGAAAGGACCAGTGAGTGCAAGGTCTAGTCCACGTCTGGTGAGCTGACTGCCCTTGCCTGATTCGTGACAGGCAGCCTAAGGCTGTTGGGATACAGCTCCTCCTGCGAGTGCTCGCTCGAATTCACCTACAGCTGCCCTCACTAACAGCAATAACCGGAAGGCAAAGCTCCTTGGGGCCTTTGCTTGCTCTAAATGCTGCCTCTCAACACAACATGGACTAACGTCTAGTTGGGAGAAGAATTGAAGACACTTACTCGGTGTGAGCCCCGTTTGCCACCAGGGCGCTGAGGCACTCCAGGCTTCCGGAGCGGGCAGCTTTGTGAATGGGAGTTTCCCCCTCACAGTCCTGAAAGAAAACACACACTCAGACCCACAGCCCTCTACACCTGCTTTGGCCAGACACCTCCCTAGCTCTGTGAAACAGAGCATCGTGACCACACCTGAGGCAGAACAGAAGGAAAGCACAGGTGGAGAAGATGGGGGGGTTCTGCTCGCCAAAACACTGAGCTGAGGGGCAGGACCAAACCAAGGCGCCGCCCCAGAGTAATGACCAGCCTCCATGGTGATTTACAATCAACTTAAACCATCTTACCCTAGAGCTTGGCACAGATGTACTGCATGCAAACTCAAATAATTAGCCTACGTTTAAAAAAAAAATCACATTAAGCCAGCAACCAAGGGTAAGAAGAACATCCTAGCTGGTTTAAGGTCCACTCCACCCACAGTCCTCCTGAGCTGCACAATGCCAACCAAGGGCAGGTGTCAGCGTCCAGCATCTTCCAGACTGACTTGAACCAGAACTGTATTTTAAACTCAATGGTGTGAGGTCAAAAGCAGGGCCAAGAGGCCTGGGTAGCTCAACGGTTCGGTGGCCTGCCTTGCAAGCGCAAGGACCCGAGTTCAATCCCCAGTACCAAAAACAAATCAAAAGGCAGGGCCAAGAGAAGCTAGAATGACACTAGGGTCAGACAGCATGCCGGGCAGGACAACAGAGCTCTGCATTAGGAAAGATGCTGACTCAAGTCCTGTGCTGGGACAGAAGCAGGCCTCAAACATGGCCTCTCCTCCAGACCAGGTCCCCTACTGACATCTCGCAGCCCTTTCCACTCCTCCTAGTTTTAAACTACAGCTAAAAATACCTTCTTCCCGGACCACTTGCACTTGAGGGCAGCAGCTGAGCTCTTTTCAGGAGAGGAACTACGCAGCTACTTTACACCTGCTTATAACCAAGAGCAGCTCTTAGGGATAACAGAGAAAAGTGCAAGCCTACAATCCTAGCTACCCTAAAAGGCTAAGGCAGAAGGATGCCAAGTTTGAAGCCGGCCTAAGGAACTCAGGGAAACCCTGTCTCAAAAATAAAAGGGTGGGTGGGCCAGAGATTTAGCTCACTGGTTCGGATGCCCACCTTGCAGGCACAGGTCCCGAGTTAGATCCCAATACCAATAAATTAATTAAGTAATCAATTAAAATAAAAAAGGATGGGGCCAGGGATTTAGTCCTGCCTCACAAGCACATGGTCTTCAGTTTAATCCCCAGTACCTAAATAAACAAATGAAAGGGTCAGGGGAGAGGGAGAAAAGAAACAAGAAAAAAATGCTAAAAATAGAAGGAAAAATGAAAACAAAGTTTTTATATACAGGGAGGGAAGAGGAGGAATAAAATAAAATAAAAAGGGCTGCCTGTGTGGCTCAGTGCCCTAGCATGTGTGAGACAATCCCAATGCACACAAGATAAAAGTTCCTTTGCACATATCAAGACCTTGATGGTTATGAGTGTGAAAGGATATAAAAACGAGAGAAAGGAAACCAAGGTTTAAAGCAGGTACCAAAGCCCCAGCCCACGTCTCCTGGGTGGATTTACCCCCAACAGGAAGCCAAGTGTGGGGCTGCTCCTACTCTGATCACCCACAGGACGCTTCTGTGCCAGATGTCTGGACTCTGAGCACTTGTGTGCAGCTTTCCCTTTGGCGGAAGAACACCAAAAACAGACTGTAGAGCCAGGCACACGGTTGCCCCATCTGTGCCGAATTTGCAGGACAAAGCTCTCCCAGTCATCTGCTCTCCATTTAGCAGGAACTTCTGGAAACTCTCTGCATGCTGTCGCCATCCCACCTGGCATCCGAAGCCACAGGAGCTCACCTTGAAGCTTCCTGCTCAGCCTTCAGTGTCTGTGCAGTGAAGCACAGGCGCTGGGGGCCCAGTGCCTTCAATTAGCAGCTGTGATCTTGGCTCACGGAACAGCAGGTGAAGCACAGAATAGTTGAGAGCACTCTATAAACAGAATGCTACTCCCTCTGGAAAGAACCTGCTACCCACAAACCTGAAGGGGAAAATTCCAGTTCACACTTGGGCAAATAGAGCAAACTCTAAAGATGGCTGCAATTAACCCGCCCAACTCACCCCCGGAACTGTGTGCACGGCACCTTACCGGTTTGTTAATGTTGGCCCCAGCTTGGATCAGCCAGACTAGGCACTGAGGGTGTCCTCCAAATGCCGCAATGTGGGCCGGGGTCTGGGCATAGCGTGTGGTGGAGAGGTTCAGGGTGGCGCCAGCTCTCACTAACTGGATCAGGCACTCCAACTTCAAAGCCGGCAGCAGGAGGAATAAAAACATGCAGACATGTGGGTACACCATTCGCCACCACAGATCGGCTCACACCACACCGCGGTGACAGGTGACGTTTTGTTTTGTTTTCTTTTCTTTTAAGAAAACAAGTCCCTCCCAATGTCATTTACATTTTCAAGACATTTAGAAAGCATTTTTCCTTTGTTATTAAAAATTGGGAGAAAATGGAATGAAAATGAGAAGTATTATGTAAATGTCTTGGTTTTTCTATGAAAAAGCCAAAATCAGAAAAGATTAGAGGGCACTGTTCAGACTTCTATCAAGATTTCTGCATATACTATTTTAGATAATAAAAATGTTAGTGATTGGTGGGTTACAAAAATGTGTGTAGCCACAATAAACACCTTATAGACCGTCTTTCTTCCAGCCCAGAGTGGTCGGAAACGCCTGTAATCCAAGCACTCTGGAAGGCTGGGTGGGGCACAAGTATTGTAAATTAATGCACTACCTGGGCAATGTGATGACTTAGCAAGACTGTCTCAAAATAAAAAAAGGAGGGGTGGGAATTTCGCTCAGTGGTGGTGCTGGCTGCCTGTCTCAAAAAGCAGGGATTCAGCTCAGTGGTTCCCCCACGTGCCTGGAAGGCCCAAGGACCTGAGTTCGATTCCCAGTACCAAAATAAATAAGTAAAAATTAAAAAAGAACTGTGCATAAAAGGCTACTGTACAGTTGAACTCTGCATCCAAGTGACTAACAAGACTGGCAAGTTAGGACAAGACAGTAGTCAAGCCTTAATACTATTCTAACCTTTGGTTCAAAGAATTCATCATAGGGCCAGGGATTTAGTTCACTGGTCCCACTGCCTGCCTCGAGTTTGATCCTCGAAAGCGCAGGTCCTGAGTTTGGTACCAAAAAATAAATAAAAAATAAAAATAAGAAAGATGTGTGTGTGTGTGTGTGTGTGTGCACATACACATATAGATATATATATATATATGCACATACACACATATTCATCAGTTAATTAATTTAGCACATGTCTAACACGTGCCTATCAATTCTGTGACTGATCTGTTTGCTCTCCAATGCCAGACTGCCACTTGTGTCTAGCCGGAAGCAATCCTGAATTCTCTTGACTGCTCACAAGAGGGAGAAGATGCTCCATGGCACCTCTAGTCTCCTTATTCGCTTTTCCTATCAGTAAGTCTATCCTTGCAAAGCACAGATGCCTTACCAAACAGTTGGGGGTACACAGATTTAAAACGGTCTGTCTCCAACAAACTTGAAACTAGGGATGAAGGCTGACCAAGAATTGCGTTTAATTTACTGAGCGAAAAATGATAAGAATCCCCTAGTGATAAGATGAACCCGAGTCAAACTAATAAAGTGGAAGAAAGATGCAATCACTTGTGGTGTCAAAGGTGGTAAATCTCTAATGCCCTTTTAACTGAGAGTTCACTGGACCTACTCTGAGTTTGTTCCCTCTGGGTTCAATTTAGGAAACTGGGTTTGCGGTTCTAGAAAAGTATTTTTAACTGCAGTATCTTGTGAAAGCAAGGTGTAATTAGATACTTTAATAACTGTTAGTCCTCCGGGAACAAATAAACCTCATAGGTGGTTAAGTAACCCTTGCACTTTGGTAGTCTGGGAACACGTGCCCAAAACCCCATGAAAGGGGCAGGGTTGGTCCCGAGTCCTGCCTGGCTTCTGCCCCGCAGCTTCTCACCGATGGGAATGGCTGGACATCAGACAGGAGCTAAGGCCCCTAAGGCACGCAGACCACGCGGGCTGCGGGTTAAGTGGGCCAACAACAGTAAGCACCTGCCTCCTCCGCCCCGGCAACTGGTCTCCAAAGCAAACATACTACTCCCAAGGAAGTAGGTTGAGAAAAGTGATTAAGTTTGCTTTTAAAACTGGTGAAAGACACACCAAAACGTGAAATGTACTTTTTCAAGTGTTTGAAAGCAATTACAGTGTGGTCCTCCGAAGTAGCTAGGGCGCCCTGGGGATGTTCCACCTGTCACCTGTATCTCAGGTGACAGCGCCCCAGACTGCAGACCCGCGTTAAGGTTCGCGTCCTCCTCGCCGGAGCAGGCAGGAGGGAATGGACCACAGGGCGCTCCGCCGGCCCGATGACCTTCTTCTGAGCCACGGAGGGCAGAGGCTGCGGCCGCCCTCCTCCCCTCGGGGGACAGGGAAGCGCGGGAGATGCGACCGACCGCAGCGGAGGGCCGGGTCTGCCCCGACCGAAAAACGGCACTGAGCCTCGCAGCCCTGAATCGGGAAGACGTGAGGCCGCGCGCACTCTGCCGAGCACTAATCTACGCCTCTGCCAGTCCCCGCACGACCGTAGTCCAGCGCACGCCTCCCAAGGCAGGACACATGGGCGGCGGCGGCAGGGCCTGGCACAGCGCTGGAGGAGCACAGGCGCCCTCCCCCGAGACCGCCCAGTCGGAAAGGGCCAGTCGCACGCCGCACAT